CGCCCTATTGAATCTATTTGTGATGAAATAGTGGAGAACTTGACACAACACCCCATCAATGTAGAGGGAATGCCCTTGGAGTATTTCGCCACTATGCCATGGGATAATTACCTAGAGGCAATGGCAAGGAACAGTGTTCATGGTGACCATATAACCCTGAAAGCTCAGCTGGTATATTTAATATTAAGATTCTTGTTCTCTCGTCAATTGGTCCTGATGTAACAATGGTAATTTCGCCAACAACAAGCATCCTGATGGCAAGGATTCAACTTGATCAGTTTGTTGAGGGGGTTGGTGAACACTATTTGTGTGTTGAGGGATATAACAGTCGTACGAGGAGAACATTATAATTTTTATGTCCAAGAACACTGCGGAGAGGGTAATTTCACTATTTATGATAATGATGATCAAATCAAGTGAAACGATCAGTCAAACCCACAAGAAGACAACAAGTTGAGGAAAAAGAACAAGAGGTATGCGATCGGGTAGTCAGTAATGAACTTTCAGGAGTGAAGATATTGTCCCAACAATGCACCAACAATTGTAACAACCTGCCAGAGGTTATACTTCCAACGGTAATTATATACCCTGATGACCGAAATGGTAGTTAATTCATCAGGATTCTCTTGACCGAACCATATTTGTTTTGCGGACAACCAAATCTTCAACGTCAATAGACGGTTCCGTGCATGTGTCAAGAGGATGTGCCACAGACTTTCAAGGATACATTTTCCACTGGGTGACGCCGGCCACATTTGTGTTACATGGTTGATTCGACAGTAAGGCTCAAATACTCGAAGTAAGACGAGTCATCTCCCATCCAAAGTGAACAATGCCTGTTTGAAACTGTATGCCAAACGTTATGGATGGTTTATTATTACAAGCATCACCTGGCGGAAGAGAGCCTATCGAAAATTAAGTACTGATTTTACTTCGTTACAATTAAGAACATCTAGTTAAGGTTTTGATTGCGTTTTATCGTTTATTGTTACTGTTCGATGGTTGATCGCTGATACTTTAAACAGTCAGAAAACACAACTGGTAGACTACTAAGGTATTCATTGTTAATCTCTCGATGTTTGCTGTTAAGTTCTTGAGGGCAAGCCAACAGGCCAACTGTTTATAAGAATTGTCTTTGGTGAAGTCTTTAGCATTACTGGAATAATATGAGGTTGCTATCGTTTTAGTTCTCTTACAAAATCGTGCTACCGGTATATGTTATCGGTACCAAAATTAAGCGATACGTTTGGTACGTTATCAAAATATAGCGTTGTCGTTCTGCTGTTTTCCTCCCGTATCGCAGCTATTTTACCATAATGGAAACCTCTGAACACGAACAAAGCAGGGGCAGTGGGGGTACCCTGATTAAAGTAAAAAGGCGCATCGGAGATAATGAGTGTCAACGGGTGGTATGCGGCTGGACCGTGTGGTAGATGACCACCGGCTACCCTCTCACGCGGACGTTGTTACGCTATCCTCCCCTTCGTGGTGAAAGAACGCGTGACGAAGCCATAAGAAGATCTATGCGGGAGGCTATGTTGTGGCCGCCATCTTCGTGTCTCCGCCTAAACGCTCCGCCCTGGTACCGTTGCGTGACGACAGAGAAATGTTAGGGCCTCAACATCCTTCTGAATTTTACAATCCAAACGGACAATAACTAGCTGATCCAGGTTTACCTAACTCCTGAGGCACGTCGCGGTTCGTTGCTCTATTTAAAAGTTTTCATTACAAACAAAAGATAAATGATTTTTACCCTTATATCTTGGTATCGAAGTAAAAGGCCATTTCCGAGTTGCCCCAAGCCTCACTGTCTAAGCGTAAATATTTAAAATTCATATGCTAAACAACTTGGCCTTTTACTGGCAGTTGACAAGCACCATTCCAAAGCGGCTCTGTGATTGGCTATCTTTGCTTTAATGGTACTGTCTGCGTAAACAACAACACAGCATTCAATGCGGCCCAAGCTACCCGCTCTATTCGACATTTGAGAGAAACACTGTACCTTCCGTCAGAGTGGTTGTTTCTGAAATATTTGTGGCTTTAATCTTGGATCTTTTAATATTTTTCAAAGTTGTGCCTGAGATTTGTGTTATTCACTGATTAACCAAGCGAATCGACTCCATTTGGATGTTTTTGTAGTAACCAGTCATCGAAGCACGTTGTCACACCGGGTGTCGACACTCGATGTATGAGTGCAGGGGTGATTGACAGTAAGTTCAGCTTGATTAATGTATTAAAGTATTTTCGTTTTGCACAATTTATGTAGTCTTCGCTATTTTTGCAATAACTTTTATAAACCCTCTAATCATAAACCGGTCTGGTCATTTTACAGGGGCACTCAACGAGAATATAGCTCAAACCACTTAAACATAGCATTGTTGAACGTATTTTAGTATTTAAACGGTAGATATGGGCATATTTTTATCCACTAGAAATTTTTTCATCTGTTCGGATTTCCTAGCTGAATGTCTAGTGATGAAAATTTACCTTTTCGAA